CCATACTAGAGGCAACACACACTGTACAAGCCTCACTTTTATTGTCATCTTTTATCCTTAAGTTCAGACTACATTGGATTTATTGGCAATAGGTCTTGCCAGTGAATGGCACCTTCATTTTTGTTTTGCATACTTTATTATCATGGAATAAGCTATATCCATACCAAATTTCATTTATTTATCTTCAGAATTTTTTGAGATATTTGGGAAAATGTCTCCCATCTCTTAATTTTGTCGACCAGTGTACAATTTGATACAAAATTTTTAAATTTATTTTATCAGCTGAGACATTTTCTTAAGATTAACAATATAATAATAAATAAATAAAATTAAAAGAGAAAGGAAAAAAATGTGTATGCCAATTTTTTTGAGAATTTGGGAGTTTCTATTCAATTTTATTCTTACTTTGCTTCTACTCTAATGATGGATTTAAACTATCAGGCAGAGCAGTATGCAGAATTTTTTCGTCATGGTCAACCTGAATATATATTTTTAGAAATTTAAAAAAAAACTAAGTACGCTTGAAGTTGCGACTTAATATAAAGAAAAAGGTAAAAAAAGTAAAAATAAATAAAAATAATATTTTTAAAAACCACGTTTTTGTAGTGGAGAATAATAATTAAAAAACCAAAATTTGAAAAACGACAAACGTGGGACGCATGAAATACATAACGGTAACAGTATGTGTGCTCATGTGAATATGTGTAAGTATATCTGTAATTGCATCTGAATGTGGATGTGTATGTGGTTGTGCATGTGTATGAGTAAGAAAATGTGTGTATGTGTATATGTACTGTTATGTATTTCATGCGACCCGCGTTTTTCGTTTTTCAATTTTTTTTTTAATTATTATTCTCCACTACAAAAACGTGGTTTTTAAAAACATTATTATTATTATTATTTTTTTTTGTACTCACTTCCAAAATCTCAATTTTTTCACTCACTGTACACAAAACTTTTCAACTGACATGTGACACTAATTTAAAATAATCGAATCGACAACAAAAGACAATAGCGAAAATATAAATTTTTCTTTAATTTCAATTTTATTTTACTTTGTATGCCTTTTTTCTCTTCATTTTCATGCATTGTCATCCAATTCTGAACTATATGCCAAATTTGAAGTCTATGGCTAGTCGGGAAGTTAGTTTAAAATCGATTACAAAATTCCATCCGAACAGACATACACGAAGGCAAGTTGATATAAACGTGGTAATAAAAAAATAGAAAACGTTACAGAGTTCTGACAGTTCATTAGCGAGAAAGGTGAGACTAAAAGCATGTAATTCTATCATTTGATTACCGGAGAAATCTGTTAACTCAAAATTTCATTAAATAATTTCTTCGGATATACATATTTTTTTAAAGTTCCTAAAATAATTTATGTTTCGATTTTGAAATTATTATTTTTTATTAGAAGATTAATTTATAGTAAAGTTATTGCAGAAAAAAGTGGTTGAAGAATCTTAGTAACATTTTTGTGCATTCGAGTAAATTAGCTCTAAAGTTTAGGAAATAAGTATTAAGCTAGCCTTTGGTTACCTAGGTAACCAAGAACCTAGAAGGTAACCAAGGCTAGACCTTGGTTACCTTCAAATCATAGAAACTGCAATTACTCAACATTGATTCAAAGTGTTAGCATTATTAAGGTTTTTTAACATCCAAAACAGTTGGAAGAAATTTTGTCACAGTCCTCGTAAGAAGGCTGCGGCAAACTTCAGACTCTCAACAGGCCATGACTGCTTGGCAGACCACCTCAACAGAATAGGTATCCTTCCATCTAGAGAGTGCCAAATCTGCAATTCGGAAACCTTGAACTCAGACCACTTGCTTGTATGCCCTTTACTGGACAAGCAATCTCAAGACCGGGGTGATCTCAGTAAACCTTACTGGGATGCCAGAGATCTCTGTAAAGACTACTCCTCATTCTTCACTGTGTATATATATGTATATTTTTTTTACTTTAATTTTATCTTTGTGTTCTTTTTGTGTTAATATGCGTTTGTCATGTGTTTTCTTTGTTTGTTAATGTAATTTTGTTCCTTTTTACTCCTTGTTTATGTCCACTTAAAGCTGAACATTGTTTATGGATTAATATTTCCAATAAAGCCATATGTAACAACAATAACATTATTAAAGTCTTAATATGTTGCCAAAATATAGTATTTTTAAGGTTGCTGTCGACTGTTAGATGCCAAATGCACTTGGAACACTCTTCTTTTTCGTTACTTAGAACATTCATCCGATGTGATCACCACTGAATCAAACGCTGCATAATTAAAACTGAAATAAGATCTTCCCTCGAGAAATCTCGATCTTTTCAGAAATGTTATGTAGAACCATAATCCACGAAGATTATCATTTCAAAATGAAGAAATGCGTAGAATTTATATTATTATTTTTTCCTATTAATAAAATGTTACGTATCGTAAATTTTTCTTTTTTTGCAATTGATTTTATCCAGCAATTAATAAGTTTGATATAAGTTTAGTTTTTCATTTAACTTTTTCAAATGAGATCCTATGCAACTTTTTCTTTAAATAACTTCGAACCCCGTTATAGTGAACCCGGTTTATAGTGAACTCCCGGATATAGTGAACGAAATGTTCGGTCCCTCGCCTTGCTATACACGCATAATGTTATTTTTTGTGGATATAGTAAACTAAAAAAGAGAGGAAGTTGGATATTATAAACTTTCTATGTCTTCGACTGGTTTTTTTTCTTCATTTTCTTCAAATAATTTTGAAATGTCTACTTCAAAATAAATACTTATACCATCTATAGAGTGAAATGCAGCAATAAGCATTTTTTCTTGTTTACTTCTTTTATCTCGCTTTTTCATCCCTAAACAATGGCCTACCCAGGCAGATGTATGGACAAATTTTTCCCTGTATCAGCTAAAGTTTACTAATTTTTTTTGTTCACAGACAAAGATTAATAAGAAATAAAAGCAAGTTAACGCATTTTTTGTTACTACGGATTATTTTTCATTCATTTTTGTATTTCATTTTATTGGTTACTTATTTTTATAATGTATAATGAAAAGAAGGAGTTCGGAACCATAAGTTAAAATTGTTCGCGAAACGGATATAGTGAACTCCCGGTTATAGTGAACTGAAATTTCAGTCCCTTGAATGTTCACTATAGCGGGGTTTGACTGTAATAATAAATAAAAGAAATGGGAAAGAAAAGCAAAGAGCAAATTTCTGACAATTTTGGAAATTAAGAAATACACAGTGACATTTATATACCATTTTTTATTCCTTATATTTTTGTTTCGTTTGCTAAAGAGGAAAATATTTTCTGAAGAAATCTTCCTTTTGTAGTATATTATCATTGCACCTTATAAGCTCACATTCTTTTAAACATCCTCCGTAGTTTTCAGGAAGAATTTCAGGAGGTATGAACTCATGAAGATCCTTAAACTCAGTGCTGTCAGAATGAAACTGAAGCTGAAAAGGTAAGACACATAATTATACATTCAACTGAACATTTACTCAGTATTTTAGGTAAGTAAACAATACTAAGTGTTTTACAAAATAAGTCTAACTTTTCTTTCAAAATAGTAGTTAAAGGGAATTTTGAAAAATATTATCAGACTTCAATATTTGTACACTCTGTTTATAAATGTTTATAACCCACCCTGACAGCCAGCCCATTGTTGGTTACACGACTTTCACTGTTGAACTCCGTATCCTTGTAATTTTGAGCTTAACCCAGAAGACAAAGACACCCCTGGAACATGTATTGGGACAAACTATCCGTCGTAGAGGATCTTTTGATGGAACTAACCTGCATTTACGTAATATGGTGGTAAAAACCTCCTACAGATAGTCCGGCGGCAAGGGGATTCTAACCCATGACCCGTCTGTTTCAGAAGATTTTTTACTTCAGCATTGCTTCGACCTCTGGAATTCGACCCTGGGTCACCTCATTGGTAGACGAGCTCTCTATCCTCCGAGCAATCCCGACTCTGTACGCTTTGTTTTATTTCATTTTATAATCACCGTTGAACAGCTTCATTGGCAATCACACTATCCTTTGGGCCACCGCAGCTCTGTACACTCTGTTATTTTATTATATTTTATAACCTAACCACCGGCCGGGATAGCCTGGTTGGTAGGGCACTGGGCCAATGTCCAAAAGGTCATGGTATCAATACCTGTCGACAGAAGACTCCCCGTGTAGTAATTGGTGACTAATGCACGCTAAATCTGTTGAGTCACAAAGTCCTCCATGTTCCCTTAAGAAATCATGCTTTCGGGGGTTCTGACCCAGGAGTTTCCTTGTCTTTTGGATTGGTTCAAAATTACAAGGGTTTTGAACCAATCCCTTGTAATATTTGAGTTAAGCATTATTAGACGTAAACCCAAAATTGGATCGGGTGTTCAACGACGGTTATGAAATAAAATAGAAACCTTTATAACCGGCGTTGGACAGTTGCCCCAATTCTGAGTTTACTACTATCAATGTTCAACGCCCTAGCCTTGTCATTTTGAACTCAACCAGAAGACAAGGGAATTCCTTGATCAAGCATTGGGGCAAACTAGCCTTCGTAAGGGACTAATTGATGGAACTAACCAGCATTTGCGTTGCATGAGGAGAAAACCCCCAAAAACCTCCACACGGTTAGCCGGACGACACGGGGCTTCTCTTCCATCATCCGTCTACGACTGAAAATATTTTACGTCAGCACTGTGGTTAGAGCGGGTCAAGTGCAGAATTCCTATTAGGCCTCGGCTATGGAATTCGAACCTGGGCCACCTCATTGGGAGGCGAACCCTTTATCCTCTGAGCAACAAAGGCTCTGTACACTCCATTAGGCTTGAATTCTGTGGATCATTTATATTATAAGAACACCAATTATTGTAAGAGTCATATTTATAAGAATTATAAGGACACCAAAATGATGTTCGCTGCCCTCACCAAACTCCCGATACTGCTTCTGCAGTTAGTTTCGGTTTGCTTCGCAGTTCGAACTCGCTCATTGAATACAGTGGGTGATCGGTTAACGAACATAATCCGTTCCAAGACTATGTTCGCTATCCGAATTGTTCGTTAACTGATCATCGATTTACCATAGACTTCTATGTGAAATCGATTAATTCGTTCTGGAGACCCTAAAAATTAAATTTTAAAAAATGTATAATTTCTTAATAAGTTTTTTAAAAAATTATACATACATATAGTCTTGCATATTAATCAATCCTTTTCATTTTATGCTTATGGGGCGGTCCAATGTCGATTGCTTTTCTCTCTTTTTCAGGATTTTCCGGAAGTAACTAATAGCATTGTCGTTGTAAAGATCCCCAAACCTACTGACATCAGCTTGGTTTGGGTGCCATTCTAAGACCATTGCTCTGACATCCTCCCACTTTTTCAAAATATCTTTAATGGCAGATGTCGGCATTGGTCCTCTTTCATCATTAGTACATCAAGAGTAGGAGACACATTTCGCTGTGTTTCTTGGTGTTCTTCATTCAAAATTTCTTGGAGTTCTTCTGTCGTTAGTTCATCTTCTTTAAACATTTCTCCTCTCAGTGATCTTATTTCGTATGCAAAATGATCACAAATGTTTAATATAAATTTTTTTCAGGCCGAGAAGTGTTCGTTAGAATTCGTTTCGTTCATTAACCGAATATGTTTTCGTTGTCCGAACACAAAAAATCTTTTTTGAAATTGTTCGTTATCCGAATATGTGTTCGTTATCCGAACACAAAAATCTTTCGTGAAAGTGTTCGTTAACCGATTTGTTCGTTAACCGATCAGTTCGTTAACCGATCACCCACTGTACTTATTTATCTTAAACTAGTTATCGTAGTACTTTTTCTCCATGACGTCATCGCTTTTCTTTTTGGTAACATGCAGTTCCATTTGCACCGTCAACGATTGTAGTTGTCTAGGTATATATATATTTTATGTTTATGCTCTGATTTTCTTTTTATAAATTGTTTAGAGCAATTTATTGCTTTTTGAAGTAAATTCTTGGGATAAAAACCACCTTACTGCACTTACCACATCAACCATTTTCTTAGGCATGAGTGGAATCAATGCGTTGTATACAGATATAAATGCTTCAGACACATTTACGACGTGTATTTTCTTTATCCTCACAGCAGAATTCTAAAAATTGAAAATAAAGGCGAAAGCTAAATTATGGTTCGTGAACAAAAGGTAAATAACTAAAAACATATTTGCTTTCATGCATATTTTTTTTTAAAAGTATGTGAAAAGTTTTGAAATGTTTTAACATTTGTAATGACGATGATGTATAATTCCTTGTGGGAGACAATTTTCAACTGTTTCAATTTTTATACGATTAACATAAAATTTTAACAAAAAGTTAATAATTACGCATATATATATATATATATATAAAAAAGGCTGAGTCTATTAATTTAAAAATGGAAAACAAAATATTTGCAAGAAAAAGTAGTCCCAAATCTATCCTGAAATTGAATTCTAAAAGTAATTTATATGATAGATTTGCCATTTTCAGGGCTTCGTTAAAATATTTAAAGCAATCGGAAACAGTAATCTTGCCAGGAAGTACCATCATACATTTCAGGCGAGTTTCTTCACAATAAGCTGCTTCCTCTAAGTAAGCTTTACAAATTCCTTCCAATAATTCAAAAATTACCCGCGTATTCCACCATAGTTTTAAAACTAAATCTTAAATCACTTCTGAAAAATAAAAACGGAAACAATGAATGCCATGCATATCATTCCAATTAACTTCAAGGAGCCTTAAATCTTGAGAGGACAGAAAGAGCGGCAGAGATTTGGCGAAAAGTGAGGCGGTAAAATCTCCTTCGGGGGAAACAAGGCGCATTTACTGATCTCAGCAATTAGATGATTAAAGACATCGCTAATTTTTCAAACTTCCCTATTATTCCACCACCCCCAGACCTCCCCTCTACACGATACTTGCTGTTTAATACGCTTTTGACANATATATATATATATATATATATATATATATCCAGATTTGAGGATATCCAGAAATCTAAGTGAATGCTTGGGGTACTTAGCTTACTAATGCAATTGGAGCTTGGAAACTTCGGGAGGGTAAATGAGGTGACTGTTCCAAAACTAGCGCCAAAATGGTGACGGTTCCATTTTCAATGAAAGTTCCCTTTTGCCGGTACATTGTTTTTGTGTGTTGTTAAAATACCTTAAGTCGCCAATCTAAAATGTCGATCTTGGGGGGGGGGGATTACATATTGGGTGGAATAGGAATATTTTCGGGAATATAATTCATAATTTTAGACATGATATTCAGGAAATGAATTCTTTATTTTAGGTCAAAAATATAAAAGAGAGCCATGTTTGCATCGAACATTTTTGATGCCGTATAGTGTTATTAAATAAATCTTGAAATGTTTAAGTGATTCTTTCTAAAGTTTCAATTAACTTTTTTTTAGAAAGTTATATAAGTCATATATTCGTAAACTTTGGTGGTTAAAATATCCAAATATTAAGGTATTAACTTTTCAACGTTTGCTTGTGTTCAATATTTAATACCAGAAAGACTAAACACTGCTGTATGACAAGAAAGTCAGAAGGGGCCAGTGCAGAAATTCTCAAAACTTTCAGTAAGTTATTTTTCGACTTACAGAACATTAAAAAGAGACAAAAATGGGTCCAGCCGTCTCTCTCGTGTTAACTGCATTCTAATGTTAACTATTATTCACTGATAGAAATTCTAGTTTGCAAAGAAACTAATTTGAATAAAAAATAAAATAAAATCAGTTAACATTTACCCGTAGTACGCATGAATTCAGAATCTTACCAATAGTACGCATGCACCTATCGTAATCCACTTGTAGTCAGTGTATTGGGGAATTTTAGAAAATGTGAAATCAACAGCATCCGCTAGAACAGTAATTCCACAAATTTGAGTGACCGGATTTTGCATTAAGTCAAAGCCAGAAATCACATCCAGGTATACTTTTTCCGGTAGAGGTAACTCAGCTACATCGATTTCAACTGAAATATATATACATACTCTATAAAATATTTATTCCTTCTAATTCTAATTAAACTAATAACCTTCGAATTAGATACTAGTAAACTGGACCTTTCTATCCTTATTGTTTTAAACACATTAATGCAATTAAAAATATTTTTCTTATGAATTTAGCTCTAGATCAGAGGTTTTCAACTTACATGTGGCCGGGGGCCGCAATTAAAAACACCAGTCAAATGGCGGGTCACAACTTATTTTACAATATTTTATATAGGATACAAATTTTATATAGGATACTTTTATGTTTGAAGGAACATTAAATATTACTGTCAGATTTTTATCAAAGTTTTTTTAATACTAAGAAGCGAAATAACAAGCATTACAAATAATATCATTGCGTATCATTTTGAATCTTCTCTTAATCAGAAACTTATCGACAAGGTTTTTTTTTTCTCTTAAATTTAATTCTGTGATAAATTAAGATTTTTTTCGAGTTATTAGGAATCATAGCAACAACAAAAAAATTCTCGAGCATCTGAAATTTTTTTGTCTTTTCTGCTCATGCGATATCCAATTCAAGGAATTTAAATAAAACATGATGTTTATTCCCTTTTTTATGCGTTTTAAATTTGACCACTGTAAATGATTTCGTCCAAAATGAGTGGTTTCCAAAAGTTAAATGGGAGAATTTCTTCTAGAAAATTTCTGATACGCACATGCTAAATTATATTCAGAAAATACAAAAAAAGAAAAATAAATAAATAAATAAAAATAAAAATGAAAAAGAGCAACATACACGATTATTTTTGTATTTGAATAAATATTTTCTTGGATGCAAAACCTGAGAAAGAAATTTTTTCTTCATCGTTCCTATATTAAATTTCACAGGAAAGAAGAAATTAAGTTTCTTTAAACGAATGAAAAGTATTTTAAAACCATATAGATTTTGTATGAAAATTGTCCACAAAGAAACGACAGCAATATATTTTAGTTCTCGGGCTACAAAAAAAGACTTTGCGTGCCGGATGCTGCCCGCGGGCTGGTAACCACTGCTCTAGATAAAAGATCCTAAAATTTCTCAGCGAAATTTTTTTTTAAATTTTTTTTTTATTTACATTCTAATTTACTTACTTACTTATTTTAGGTAATCTAACGTTTAATACGTTTAATTGATCGTAACTATTCAACAGTAAAATTTCTTTGAGGATAAATTAGGATAAAAATTATTTGCGTTAAGTATTGCATTTTGTGCTTAAAATTAGCTAAGTAATACATTTTGCGTGGATAAATAAATAAGACTTTGTACTCACTGATAACACAAATAAATGTATCATTTGGAACCACAATTCCTTTGATTAATTTATAATTCTTATAAAGCCATTTTATTTAATTATTATTGTTTTTTTTAAAATTCTTGAAACTCTTTCCTTGATATAAAATTTTTTAACCTATATTTGTCTAAAAAAATTTTTTTCTCCGGTAACACACAATTGTATCAGAATAAGAATTATAATAAATAGCTATTCTCTTTGTACCTTAAAAACACATTAACGTGAAAATTTTAGATCTTTGGTGGCTTGTATAATTTTATACATTATCTAACTTTCATGTATTGGCAAATAGTTTTGAATGAAAAAAATCTTCCCAAATAATTGAACTCTCTAAGCTGAGCTGTGACTGATTTTTCGGTTTAAGGTTATAATGAACTATTTTAATAATGCATTTAAGAATAACTTGTAGAACCACGAAGAACCATTCAGAAGGGCAATTCTCTAATGGTGTTCGGTGAAACTCTAGGGTTCCGTGGAAAGTTAAAAGAAGTTCCGAGAGTTTAACCTCCTGGTACTGATTTTTAAAGCCTTATTTACATTTGTATATAATAATTATCTATTATTAATTTAATATTTCTGTTGTTTTATGAAATTATTTGAAGTAAAAAGATAATGAAAAAGAAATAACAAACTTTTTTGTTTAAAAAAATAATATTTTTCTAAGAGCAGTTCTTATTTATGAAAAGAATCAGCATTTATAAAAAATTCTATTAATATTTCTCACTGCGCTTTTCAAATCAAAGTAAAATAAATAAATTCGTTCATTAAAAATGAAATATATCTCTCAGATAAGCACTTTCAACGTTTATAAAATTTTCATAGGTTTCACTTCAACAAAAATCATAATGTCGCTTATTTGTTTCATTTCATTTGTTCATTGCTTACGTATATGACCCAAAAACAAATTTAAAATTAAATTAAATTGTGGGAAACCACTAAAACTTAATTTACGATTATTAATGAAAGAAATAATAAAAAAATTTCATTCCTCTTTTTAAATTTTTTTAAAATAAAAAAGTATTTTATTGGATAATATACTTATACATGGGTATTTGCAGTTCAAGAAGAAGAAGAAGACCTCCCATACCCCACACATGTGACCTATGACGTCAGCGCCAGCTAATCTTTATCAGCAAAATGGCGTATTGAAGTTGAGCTAAGTTTCTCTCTATAAGTTAGAATGTTAATTAACGATAAGTTAACTAAACACAGAGCCATATCGCACATCGAATAAGTTGAAATATAATTCTTTATCGTCTACTTCTTTAACTTAATTTAGATTTATTATTTGTTTATATATTTTATTGTAACCGTGGAGTATTTCTGTTTTGTGTACCTGGCAACTTCGATGCATAAAAAGTTTATGTTCTACTTAGCTCCGTGCCCGTCTTTGTGTTAAGTATTTGTGTAAATATATTGTGAAAAAAAGGAAGAATATAGGCTGTGTCACTTAAGAGAATCGGTACTTGACGGGCTTGGCTTACTCGAAATATAATGGGAAAAACAGTTGCTAACGTAAACAAATGCCACGTATCAACAAGCAAAACCGGCGTAGAAACTAGAAGCATATAAACGGTGCTTTACTGTATTTGAAAGGTTCTTTTTTAAATTTAGATTTCCGGAAAAAAATTCATAAAATCTTTGAGGATAAAAGCTCAATTTAGAGCCTCACTTAGTGGCTCTCGAAAATTTACTTATTAAGTAAGAGATGAAAAAAATAACGTTTAGCAGACAATTAATGTATCTCCATCGTACAAACGAACGGAATATTATAATAATGCAAAAATCTAGACTGAACTTGGACTGCAATGAAGCGACGTATAAAAACAAAGAAGATGTATAAATGAAAAACGGACAAACAGTTTTTTTTTACTGTATTACATATTTTAAGGAAGAAAAGACTGCTTACAATATCGTGATATTAGTAGGAGACTGTTGTCTTTCATTCTAATGGGTGACACTAGCAATGGATTAAGGTGTGATTTTGTCAATGCATCCAAAACACTCGTTTCAAAGTATTCAGGAGAATTCCTTATCATTTCGTTGTAAGTTAGAAGCTTGTATGCTGCTCTGTCGCAGTCAAATTCAGTCCCTCGTAAATGCGCTAAGAGAAATTCCTCATCAGGAAATGGTTTGAATCCTTTAGCTAAGGGAAAAAAAAGCATTATTAATATTAGTATGTGCATTTTGAATTATATTTCTGTATCAGCCAGCTTGCAAGTTCTTAAAAATTGTTTTTTACTACTTACAATAAATTAATGTATCTCCGAAGTGCATTAACTTCTTGAAACACAAACTTTTGACAGAAAAACTTAATTCTACCTAGAAATACGTTGCTTAAAGAAAAGTTAATTTTATAAATGCGATGAAAAATTTAAAAAAAAGTAAATTAATTTTAATTAAATTATCATTTTTTGTATTTTTTTACTGCGTAAAAAAGAATGTATTTAAGTTTTAGAATTTCTTGCAAATTATAGGATATTTATTTTCACAGTATATTTCTTTACATTTTGGTCATGAAGCTAAATTCGCTTTACTCAAGTAATAAGCTATTTATAAGGCATAAAACTTTCTAAAAGGAATCTTCATTGGAACTTATTAACTTTGTCACGATTTTTCATTGTAATTAAAAACCCTAACCAACGAATGTAAATGAAATTATAGTTTTGCGTAACACTTGTTATTTTTAAGGGATAAAAAAAAGAACAAAAAATCTCTAAATATCATTTTTCAGTGATAAAATTGTACAAAATGTTGCCCAATATATTGGACGCTGTATTCCGATTGTTGTTACGTAAAAATCTCTTCATGGATCAAATGTTATTGGCCAACATTTTTCTTTTGTTTACGGAATTTTTATTATCGGATACCTGCAAGTGGTAAATCATGGCACCATAGGTAAATCATGGCACTTGTCGATTCAGAAGCCAAGGAGGTTCGACGCACACGCGTGACTCCGCTTACAGATATCCAATTATATTTGATATCTTTATCTGAAAATTTTCTTATGATGTTACTATGCGCATTTTGAATTCGCGATCACGACGAACTATAGGGGGCGTTGTTGTATGAGACGAATACCTGCGATTTCTATAAGAACAGTCATTCAGTTACTCTGGAGACGTCATTAATGTAGTGTGTAGCATTGTAACGTTCCTACTTTATTGTAGCTTATTAAATTTAAAAAATAAAAATGTTTGATATTCTTTCTTATGCAAACGAAAACAAAATGGTATCTCTCTTTTTTTTTCTAGAAAAGGAATATCAAAAACACATCGGAAAAATATTTGTAAATGAACAGAAAAAAATATGTATACGTATTCGTATAAGAGTTAAAACCTATTAACTAAGAAATAGTTTTACTAAATTTAATGATATAACATGAAAGGCCCATTTAAACTTTACATTCCATAGTTTTAAGAATCGTATCACTTCAAAAATTAAAATGAACAAAAAGTAGGACATAAAGCCTCATAATTTTATATAATTTAATTTTGTAAACAAAGTTTTTTTACAATAATTTATATCCCAAAAAAACTTTAAGTTTCAATGAAAATCATTATTTAGAAACAAAAAAATGTAAAATAAAGAATTCTTACAAAACAAAACAAAAAACAATTCTTTTTTGACGCCATTTCTTAGTGCTACGAAAATGCGTGTTTGGGATTTGCCAAAAACAAAACAAGATGCAATTTTATTTTTTCAGGAGCGAAATATTTTGCCCATTGTCCACCGAAATCCAAAAAGCCACAACATAAAACTTTATCTTGGTAAACGTACGTTTTGGAAATGTTATTTCATTTGGAATCTTATTTATCAGAGTTCATATGGCGATATGATTGTTTTGAATCTATGCTAAACTCTATATCGGCTCATTTTCCACCGAAATCCGATTAACTATTTTGATTTTAAATAAAGTGTTTTATTTTATGAATTGTCGCAAAAATTTTAAGTGTAGATTGGCGGCACTTAAAAACCGCCAAATCTGTAGTTGCGGTGGCGTTATTACGTACCGAATTTTTATTCCATACTTTTCTGAATCATATTACTTCAAACATTAGAATATGCAAGAAAATACATAAACACATAATTACATAAACACATAATGTTATACAATTTAATTTTTCAAAAAAAAGTATTTTGACAACAATTTTAATCAACAAATTATAAACTAAGAAACGTAAAATAAGGAATGCTTAAGATAAAAAACGATTTTAAAAATTATTCATATTGAAATAAAAACTTTCACATGGTTTCTTTTTTTTTTACTCTTATAGTTCTTAATCAGACGTAAAAAACCATTCTGTAGAGAACGATCATCAAATAGGAGAAAAAATTATTTACAAGCAAATTTTTTTATCATAAGAATCTTAACACTCACCTGTTTTAAAAATCCGCAGAATTTCAAATGCAATGTTCTTCGTTTCAAAATTTTATTTTCAAATGATATATTCATAGATTATTCCTTCACTACTTTTAGATAACATACCACACAGCAAAATTTTATAATTGTAAGCTCTCGATATGAATTTGAATATGTAGCTTAAAAACAGAGTAGCTGAATTCTAGCTGAAATTATTCTTTCAAAACTAAAAAATACTTACCAAGAAAACGATAAAAATTTATTAATAATCATTACAAATGAAACTATTTCAGGTTGTACGGATGATTCTTTATTGTTGTTTTCCGAATTAGTATTTTCATATCAAAGTAAATTTCAAAAAGTATAAGCTCAGTTTGTGTATGATATAATGATGTAAACAAGTACGACGTATAAATCTAATATACATCATTGAATATTTTTTTTAGAATTAAATTTTAGCCTATTCGGTTAAAAAGTTTTTCCGTTTTAGAAGTACTTTCTTTCCCATAAACTTCTAAAACAGGTTTTCCTGTAAATAGTGTATAAATGATAATAAACGTGAACCAATACCTTTAAGCATGTATTTAAGCGTTTCCATACAGGCTTTCCTTAAAAGTTCAGATTCATTAATAGCAGTTAAAGCCTTGTCTTCTTCTTCTTTAGACATTTGTTCAGCATTATATGGTAATAGGTTCATGTTTCAGAAATCTAACTAATTCCTTTAAATAGAAAAGATCAGATTGTTACTAACTAACAAAAAAACTTACTATTCTTGCATGCCATAAGATTGTTTAGAAATTCAGGTAAAAAATTCGTTAGTTATAAAAAATTGGAGCTTGCTTCTTTAAGCAAAAAGAAGGAAAATAATTTTATTTGCGTATTAAAAAATCTACTTACTTTTGTCTCGCTTTCAATAATTTTTACAGCTTTCATTCAACTTCGTTGCAGATTTCAACAATGTTTGATGATAAATATTTTTCACTTCGTACTTCGAATTTTCTTCCTCTTCTTTCAGTTTCATTGAGTAATCTTTTCGTCATAAGATATTGTTTCGGTAAAATCTGTGAAGAATGCCATGTGTAAATCTTGATCCGAAAAGCGTGAGAGCGTTCTTATTTTTTTCCTAAAATCATTCTGATTTCAAATATATTAAACAGCTTTGTATGCATTTCCCCCGTCTTTTTTTATCATCATTAAAGTGCAATTTATCATAAAACAATTTTAAAAAACAGTGATACGGCTCATAACAATTTTTTTTGTCCAATATAAGAAGAAAAAAATAGCAGAAGGAAGTCTTTTTTTTTTTTCAATATCTTGTTTAAATTTTCCCATCTCATGTGATATTAAGTTTTTTCTTTAGTATGAAAGCAATTTCGAATACATCCCTCTGTGCCGATAAGAGGGATATATTCGAAACATCCCTCTTATCGGCACAGAGGTAAGAGGGAATAAGAGATAAGTGGCTGAGCTTTTAAAGAAATAAGTGGCTGATGACTCTCAATGGCATATTTGTGCATTCGGTAACTTAGCTCCTCTTAAGTTTAGGAAATAAAGATTAAGGTAACATTTATTTATAATAATCGAGTTTGATGTAATGGTTGCCACTAAGTTGTACTGGTTGCCATCGAAGTTTGTAAATCCCCAACACTGAACCAAACTGTTGGAATTATTAGTGTTTAAATATGTTGCCAAAATAGAGGTTTTTTATTGTTGTTGTTGTCGACTGTTGGATGCGAAATGCACTTGGAACACTCTTCCTTAAAAATAAAAAAAAGACCTGAAAAACCAATACTTAGNATGAAATTTGGCATACAGATAGTTCAAAGCGCGAGGAAGGTAACTCTTGGCATTCGAACATTCTGCAACTAACCGTTCGAGTGGGATAAGCGAAGAACGAAATGAAAATTTCTGATTGGTTTAAATTGTTTTAATTACCCATTGTTTTTAATTCAACTATTAACGATAGAATATTCACACATTTTAACGATAACATCATTGATTATTGCTAGCTTATAGCTTTCTTTAGTCAAAAAAATATTTTTTGCAAATATTTAAATATTTAATATTTAAATATCTTTTATTCGCTGTGACAGATAAATTCAATGAACAACATTACGTGGTAGCACGCGTGATCTACGATACTAAATTAATACTTTTAAAGTTGTTTGATAAAATATTTTATCAAGTAGCTTAATTATAATATATTATACATTTTTATTTATAATATTTCTTTTATAACGTATTTCTAAAAAGTTTTTTATTTAAAATCAAAGGAATAGAAAAAAGTATTTATGTATTTAAAGAAAAAAATTAATGGGAATGTGATACTAATTCATTTAGGAGAAACGAAAAAAATCGGCAAATTATTACTGGCGCCAATGATGCTTAATTAATTTAGGTAATATATGCATATTGAAATAAAAGAAAAGAGTTACATACTAGAAAGCAAAAGCAGTGGAGTAAAGATATTTATTTGTCTGGAAATCGTCATACTATCATTGTCAACAATGATGCTTTGTTAATGTTGGTGATATGCATTAATTGAAGTAAATAAAAAATAATTTATGTACTAAAAAGTAAAAATAATAGAGAAAAGATACTTATTTGATTTGGGGAACAGTAAAAATTTCCTTATTATTATTGACACTAATGTTTAATTAATATTGATAATATGTATTAATTTACAACCGTCTTTGAACAGCCGACCCAATTGAGGTTTTACGACTACCAATGTTCAACACCGTAACCTTGTAGTTTTAAACCCAATCCAGAAGACAAAGGAATTTTTGGATCAAGTACTGGGAAAAATTTGCCTTCGTGGAATACTTTTTGATGGAACTAACCAGTATTTGCGTTACATGGTAAGGAAAGCCGCGAAAACTCCCCATGCTTAGCCTGACGGCGAGGGGACTCTAACCCATGATCCATCGACCACTGTGGATATTTTACGTCAGCACTGTGGTTAATGCGAACCAGGTACGGAGTTATGTATTAATTGAAACAAAATAAGCTATGTAATGAAAAGCAGAGTGAATGGATAAATGTTAATGGGAAATTCGCTTAGGAAAACGGTAGGAAATCGCCTTTCATCGATGATGCCTAATTAATATGTACAGTGCTCCAAAAAGAAGACAGACCATCCTGAAAAACTTTTGCCTTTACATTTTCTTTTCCTTCTCACTCTAAGACACAATCTTAATGTTTTGAGGGTCAGGTAGAAGATCGATTAAGGCTAACGTCAGGGAAGAGCTCAACTTCAAGTAAGTGCAGTCAATATATTAAGTTACGAAATCAGACACAAAAACTTATTTTCTCTGAATAAATATACCTTTTTTTCCAACGGATTCGCATTTCTGACCCCCAAATTATAGGGGTTTAGCCGCAATCTGGAAAATATGGTTCCCGTGGTTTGGTCTACAGAGCAATCCAAAATTTGGATTTCCAAAAATAATGAAAAAATTGCAAAGTGTCCTCTAATTGTGTCCTCAAAGTGTAATTAACTTTAAATGTGCTCTTAACGTTGTATTGCTTGAAGTGGGCAAACCCTTCTTAAAAAATTGGAATACTTAATTCTTGACACATATGGGCATTTTTAAAAGAATAGACACCCACTTTGTAATTTGGAAAAAAGTTCAAATTTTTTTTTCTTGTTGCAAAAAATTTTAAAAAATTTGAAAAATAAACTTCATTGTGTTAACCATATGTATGTTCTCAATGTTGCATTATTTAGACTAAGCAAATGTCTCTTAAAAAATTTTTTTAGTATTTATTTCCTCACAACTATGGGTATTTTTGATAAAAATTGACACTTAATTTTTATCTGAAACAAGTTTCAAATGAATTACTCATTGCAAAAAATTATTAAAAAAATTCACAAAGTGCCCTTTATTATATCGATCATGTATATGATCTTAGTCCAATATATGATCTTAATTTTTATTCCAAACAAGGCAACGTTATTAGCATACATATAAAAATAAAGGACATTTTGTTAATTTCTTATAATTTTTTGCAATGAGGATTTAATTTGAAACTTGTACAAAGTAAGCGTCAAATTTTTCAAACATATCCTGAGATAAGATAAAATAAATACAAAAGTACCCAAAATGCTTAAGAAGCATATATTTAGCTCAAATTTGGTTACGTTAAGAATATTAATATAGTTAGCATAATGAAGGATGCAGTGCAAATATTTCATAATTTTTTACAATAAGGAAATCAATTGAAACTTGTTCCAGATGACAAAGTGAGCGTCATTTTTTCCAAAAATATCCATATATATCAATAAATGAGTAATCAAAAGTTTTAAGAAGGATTTCTTTACTCCAAACAATGATGCGTTAAGATAATATGTATAATTGACAAAAAAGGTGACAATATGTGAATTTTTTTTAATAATATTTCGTAATAAAAACTCATTTGAAACTTGGTTAAGATTAAAAAATGAGCGTCAATTCTCTCAAAAATACCTGTACATGACAAAAAATATGAACTCAAAATTTTTAAGAATCAATTTTTAGTTCAAACAATGCTACGTTAAGAGCATGAGTTTAAAAATAAAGATGGATACTTTGCTAATTTTTTTTTTGTAACTTTTCCTATGAGAAATTAATTCGAAACTTTATTTAGATAGCAAAGTAAGCATCAAATATTTCAAAAAATACCCATAGATGTGAAGAAATAAATACCCAAAAATTTTAAGAAGCATTTGTTTAGTCCAAACCATGCTACATAAAGAGCCATGCTACGTCATCCCCACTAAGAGCTTATCAGTGGGATTGATCTCTCATCCATACCGAGGAAGTGGTGAGTAGCGCTCATTCTATAGACGAGAGGTCATCAATCCAAAGTGGAGTGAATAGCTCATCCTATAGCACTTCCGTAAGAAAGGTGATCAACCCTAAGAGTGGCGTGTAACACTCATTTTCCCCCTACTTTAAGTTTACAGTTAATTATTCTCCAATCAATTATCGAATGATAATTTTTTTCCCGTTATACTCTCTGCACATTTTTCTACACCACATTGTAATTTTAGTTTTGTAGTTTATACGCAGCAAAGCAAAATGTAATGTGAAGGATAAAATAGATTAAAAATTTGCGAAAAAAGTACTTAAAAAGTACTTTTGAAGATGTTGTAACTTAAAAAGCTCATGCTAAGCTTACAAACAAATATGTCCCTTTCAGCACGTCAAGCAATATAAAATTAAATTTCGATGCAAATTGAATTCATTGCAATATGAAATTAAAATTGAATATTGCCACTATTTCCTGTCAGCAAGCTTCTAATTAGCGAAGTAAGTAACTCCCCAACAATGAGTTAAGTTGTTTGAAGAATTGGTTATTAAATCTAAAGCCAACAGGAGGGCTTTTTAAGGTTGTCTTCGACTGCTAGTAGCAGAATGCACTAGGAACCTTCTTACTTTAAAAACAGTATTTTCCTGAAGCTCTTCAGTCAAGGGAAATGGTAAAGTCACAGTTTCAGAGCCTACACTTCAAACAATGTATACCAGAGGTTTCCAATTTTTTTACAGTTACGAAACCCTAAACGATAAAATGCTTTTTGGCAAAACCGCAAATATAAAAGTAAAATTTATTAGCACCTATGAATATACTAACCAAAGAAGGACTACTAATTATTTTGATACTATCTTATGTGGAGAATGAAATCCTGGAGTGGTACTTAGTCTAGTTCTGAATTCGTTGTTGGCGCTAAAAATGATTAAAATAAGCTAAATAGTCTTCGAAAAATAACTAGTTTATATGTTGATTATACGTTGAGAATAGTTATCTGAGAAATATAATTAGTTATTCTTGAAATTGGTCATTTTATTTTGAATGAAAGTTCGACAAAATATACTAATGAAATTTTCTTATAAATTTTACTGTTTCTCTTTCTGCTGCCATTTTATTTAAATAATTTTTTAAAAATAATCAAATCATCAAATAAATTATATCTTGCTGTTTAGACATAAATATAATTACAGGTTTCAAAAATTACGACTGATTTAAAAAATTTAAACTCTGGGAATTCCTGTGATCTTTCCACTGACCACTAGGGTTGACCACCATTTGAGAACACCTGATATATTCCATCTCTACGGTAAGCAATTATCTGGCCTTTAGAAAGGACAAATAACTTTAATATTTTAAAATTATTAAACTTTTTTTAAAAAAATCGTTAGTTCTGCGAGATTTTTCTATCTAAATTAAAATTATCGAATCAATGAACAATCTTCTATTTTTGTGATCACAGATAATGAAGATTTAGAATAATGTTTTTGAATAGTAAAAAAAAATTAGCGACAAAACTGTGTTTTTTTTTTCATTGCACCAATTTTAGAATTGACATATTGGCTGAAGATAAGATGAAATTGACCTAAAAATCATGTACATTGTAAACTCACAACTGTTATGAAGAAAGCATATTATTCGCACAGAAAGCGTTTATCTGGTATGACGACAGAGCTTTCGAGAAACAGCTTTAAAAAAGCACCGTCACTTCCATTTGCTAAAATCTTAAGATTTAATGACCTGGCTAAATAAATATTGTCTCTCTTTCCCTCTCTCTCTCTCCCATACTTTTTAAAAACATTTCTGCCAAAGATATGCATTAACAGTTATCGCAATGTAAACATGTATATGTAAATATTCTGCGAAAAAAACTGAAGCAATATCTTGTTTTGATGCTGAGAAAAGGTACATTGAAAAAGGTCAGTTTTAGCGTTACTAGTATATTCCCAACCGACTCCCCTTAAACTTGTTTTTAAAAAAAAATTATTGATATTTTTATTTGGAAATAAATAAATAAAACATTTTATCATTTAAACATGTATTAACAGTTATCGCAATGTAAACAAGTATATGTAAATATTCTGTGAAAAAAACTGAAGCAATATCTTGTTTTGATGCTGAGAAAAGGTACATTGAAAAAGGTCAGTTTTAGACTTACTAGTATATTCCTAACCGACTCCCCTTAAACTTGTTTTTTAAAAAAATTATTGATATTTTTATTTGGAAATAAATAAATAAAACATTTTATCATTTAAACATGTATTAACAGTTATAGCAATATCTTGTTTTGATGCTGAGAAAAGGTACATTGAAAAAGGTCAGTTTTAGCATTACTAGTATATTCCTAACCGACTCCCCTTAAACTTGTTTTTAAAAAAATTATTGATATTTTTATTTGGAAATAAATAAATAAAACATTTTATCATTTAAACATGTATTAGTAGTTATCGCAATGTAAACAAGTATATGTAAATATTCTGTGAAAAAAACTGAAGCAATATCTTGTTTTGATGCTGAGAAAAGGTACATTGAAAAAGGTCAGTTTTAGCATTACTAGTATATTCCCAGCCGACTCCCCTTCAACTTGTTTTTAAAAAAATTATTCACATTTTTATTTGGAAATAAATAAAATAAAAAATATAAACATTTTTTTCCTTCTTTTATTGCACTGATAAAATGTTCTTTTTTTCACAATTGGTAATTTTACGATGTTTTAATTGTTTTCCATATTTTCAAGCTGACATTCTAATTTTATTCAACTCTTTCTTATAAGTACCAAAAATTGAGTGCACGACATTTTTTCACAGTTTTGGAAAAGCAGAAATGCAATGGCATTTATACATTCGCTCTTTAATCCGGACGTTTCAGTTCCTTCTGTCAAAGAGGAAAATATTTTCTATAGTAATCTTCCATTTGAAGTATGTTCTTCATTCCATTTATAAGCTCACATTCTTTTAAATGTCCTCCGTATTTTTCAGGAAGTATTTCAGGAGGTACGAACTCATGAAGATCTTTAAACTCAGTGCTGTCGGAATGAAACTGAAGCTGAAAAGGTAACACACAATATTACATAATTAACACAATATTACATAATTAACACAATATTACATAATTAACACACTATTACATAATTAACACAATATTATTTATTCACTCACACGATATTATTTACTCACTATTTTAGTTGAATGAATAATACTGAACATTGAATATTATTTTCATCGTTGTGACAAGATAGAAAGTGTCATCTAGTATTATCAAGTCAATCGCAAAAAATAAATATGTATTGCTTTCAGACAGCTTTTATTTCAAAATAATTAAACTTAAATGATTTAAAAATATCCTTTAAATATTACCAATTTTTAAATATTCTTAAGGGAATTTTTAAGATAAGAACCGCAGATACTACGCCGACACAGCCGTGCAGATCTTTAACAGTTAACCGGCTGAGCATGGAATGTTTGGTAAATGCTATAATTATCTGCTCATTGAACATTTTTAAATATAATTTTAGTGTTTCCTTAGCTTTTAAACGTTGCCCACGGGTCAAGATGACCTAAATATGCAATGAAATTGGATGTGTAGTCATAGAGGATTGAATAATTTCTTTGAATAAAAACGACCAATACTACGCTGTCACAGTCGGATAGATATTTTACAATTAACCAGTTAAGCATGGAATTTTTCTGTTAATGTTATGGTTTTCTGCTTGTTGAGAATTTCTTAAGTTCAATTTTAGTGTTCATTTTCTAAATAAATGAATGGGATAAGAACCATCGTTACTAAACTTACCATATCAACCATTTTCTTTGGCATAAGTGGACTTAATGCTTTATATGCAGATAAAAATCCTTCAGATGCATTTACGACATGGATTTTTTTAACCCGGCAAGGAGAATTCTGAAAGTAATTGAAAATAAAAGTCAAAACAAAATTATGGTTTACATAATATATTTCACATTGTTTTGCACATTCTAAAAAATTATATTTTGGTATATTTAACGCATGGCATATTAAAATAGTTTACCAATTATTTGCTTAAATTTTGGTAAAATCCTAGAATAGCCACATCTTGGCAACTTTTTGAAACATAGACAAGTTGGCGATTATTACTGGGATCAATGTTGGTTTTGATTATTAAAAAAATTAAATTATCACAAATTTATTGAAATATTTTAAATAGAATAAAAAATAACCTACATTTATGGTAAGTTTCTTTTAAGTATGATGGCTCATCTTTTAAATCAAATTAAATTTATTAAACCATTATATTTAATTCCTTCGAAAAATAAGCCCTTTTACCTCTTTTCTAACGAAATCCTACTTTGGCGTAGGTATACATATCAAATAACCCAATCAGGTTCGAGAATTTCGGTGGTGCGATCTTGTTGTGATTAGACGTTCAAAATAATCTCTCCGAAATATCTTCCGGAAACCAAGTTTGGCGAGATTTCAAAAACTTGCTCGGCGAAACTTAAAAAAATCGCCATGGGGTGGGCTATTCTAGGATCCACCCTAAATTTTTATCCGATTTCCATAATGTTTCATCAGTCACTTCATAATCGCACATGTTATTTAGATTATTTTTTTTGAAGCAAGAATAGATTAATAACTTAAATAACTGAAAGCTACTAATCCGGTTTAAAAAACCAACTAAGATCAATACCCATTAACGATAGAACAAGACTTTGTCAGTATAAAATACTAATCTGACCAACCAGTAATCCTCAACGCATAATGTTCAGTGCTGATCAAGAAAATAACTTCTGGCGCATTCTCTCTCTCATATATAAATATATATATATATATATGTTTANTCATTTCCTTGCAATATATAATGTCTTCCATCGACTAGGTGGCCGAGGGGTCAGCGTGCCTGACAACAAAGCCAATAGTTGCGGGTTCTAATCCCACTCAGGTCGTGGATGTTTCTCTCTGGGCGTGGTTCTCTGCTGTGTGAATGTGACCCATGAACGGCTTCGCGAATTTTGTTAACTGTTTAATTTATATACTTTTAAACCTAAACCGCATTTTGCTACACGCCGGTAAGTTTGATTACTTTTATTTCATGCTCTTTTTCAACAATATGTTTTTTGCGATATCGACACATATAAAGAATAATTTTTAGCTTAGGATAATTATTCTTTGTTCAGAAATATCGCATTAATTTATACCAATAGATGTGTCTTAATGTGAATATCCAAAACTTAATGTGAATTTATACCATTAGATGTGAAAGTAATGAGCATGATTTTATTGTAACGCGACTATTGATCGCAGCGCATTCAGATTTGTCAAAAAATGTGGTGGGGGATTAGTCCTTCCAAGCAAGCCTGGTCTCAGGTCGATCCGAGCAGTAGGAGTGGTAGGACGTGTCTTCGCACAAAGTCTTTTTTTCGATCGTGTCACGGCGTGATGGAGTGTTCGTTCGCTGGAACGGCGGTACGCGATAAAGTTTTGTGTGCGACTTTGGAAGAATGCGACGGAAATTCATCACATGCTTCAAGACGACATTAAGGAGGAATGCATTTCGAGATCTCAGTGTGGAAGGTGGCACAAGGCCTGCAAGGAGGATCGGGAGAAGGTCACCGACGAGGCTTGTTCTGGACGCCCAATAACAGGAAGACCCGATGAAAACGTCCAGCATGTGCATGAAGTTTTGAAGTCAGACAGTCGGTTAAGCATTCAGGTAATCGCTAACACCCTAAACTTGTCAAAATGTGTGGTGCATGGGATTGTGACGGAGGATTAGCAAATGCGAAAAGTCTGTACGAAGCTTGTGACGAAGGTGTTGACGGAGGAGCAAAAAGAAGTTCGAGTTTTGAGCAGTGAAGAATTGCTGGAATTACTGATTTGGTGCCCCAGCCTCCCTATAGCCCCGTGTGACCTTTTTTTGCTCCTCCGACTGAAAAGAGAGCTGAAGGGAAAGCGCTGGGAGTCGGTGGAGAACAAATAAGCTCATGTTACAAAGTTTCTGAGAGGCATTCCTGTCGAGGAGTTCCAGGGTGCCTTCCAGACGTGGCAGGATCGTCTCTGCAAGTGGAATGATGCACAAGGGAACTATTTTGAAGAATTTCAACTATTTGTACCCGTAGGATCAATAAATCTATTTTTCCCAGAAAATGCGCATTACTTTCAGAACGCACCCTGTATATATATTATTCTGAATATATAATTATTCTTTAAGGTCTTAATATTTTATGTCATGGGTTGTAATATTGTTACACATTACAAATTAACCCTTGAAGCATTTAACTGATTTGAACTGTCTGATTGATTAACTGACTTATTAAAAAACATCTTGAAAAGTTACAAGCACCAATTATTCCCTCATTTATGGAATTCCTCATATAAGATAGGCAACAAAATCGTCCAACTACTAAGATGATAACAATTTAATGTTTGCTATTGTTTAATGCATAACTTTATTTATTGGTATGTATAATTTTTAGTTCACAAAAACACCAAATCAAATTAAATAAAAATTCAGTAATAATTTATTGAGAATCTTACCAGTACTGCCCTTGCGCCTAACCTAATCCAGTTGTAGTTGGCGTATTGGGGAAGTTTGGATAACATTAAATCAACAACATCTGATATAACAGTAAATCCACAAATTTGATTGATAGGATTTTGCATAAGATAAAAGTGAGAAACAGCGTCCAGGTATACTTTTTCCGTTAGAGGTAACTCAGCTACATCGATTTTAACTAGAAATAATGTATATATATATATA